AAAAGGTATGGATAATAGTTTCGCTCCGCGAAGACCAAGGTTTTTCGGAATATGTTCACACTTTCTGGTTGATAAATGACCTGTCCTTCCGATGTACCGCTGACCGCAGGTACATTAAAATGAATAAATGCAATGGGAGGTAGCACTGTCGTCTTCTCAATCCGGTTTAGTACGTGTGAGACAACAAAGCGTCCCGTACACAATCATTAGGCTTGTGGCATTGTACGTCCTTTCCCCAGCGTGTGTTAAACGTCGAGATATCTTCGCTGTCACATGGTCTCCCTTGAATGGCAGTTCTATATAGAGATATTTCTGCTTAGCCAATGGGAAAATAGGCTTGGTGTTGATCGACTTGCTGTACTTGTGAATGAATGTAATGGGATAACTATTGTCTAGAAAAGCATGGGTCAATCGGTCCAGTTCATCTGGCAGGACTTGCGGAAAACAGTCGCCGAACCCTGTGAAACAAAGTGCGTACCAGACCACTCTTGTATCCCACAGGGCAGAAACTCCTGAAGTGTAAATACTGCCCTGTCCATGTAGGCTTTCGAGACATAGATATCTGTAGCTTCCCGTCGGACATTCGATTGAGTAGTAAGTCAGGAAGTGGAAGTTTTGATTCACATTCACATTCCAATGTCAATTTGATGTTGGGATGCAATGAACTAAACTTGTGAGAAAATGTCCTAGTATATGTTTCGTTGCGCGCAATAACTAGTAAATCATAAACATACCGTCGATACTGTAGGGTCGAATTCAGTTCAACTTCCAGTTTGTTTTCTAGTGTTGACAGGAAGATATCAGCAAGAATTGGTCCCAAAGGGTTACACCATCAACCAGTTGATGGATATTTCCGTTGAAAACAAACTGTACGTCGTGGACGCATAAATCCAGTGGAGTTTTCAAATCACTGGCGAGGAAACCTATTTCACTGGCATGTTTACATACTTCGGTCATAGCCTCCTCAACCGGGATAGTTCTGAACAACGGAGAAATATCGTAAGAGGCGGGAAAACAACTACGGTAATCTACGTCAGATATTGCTTCTTTTAATTGAAATGTATCATTCAGTCCGAATTTGTACATAAGCAAAATTGACTTGTTCCGTCTCAGTTCTTTTATCGCGTTTACGTGGTCTTTTGACAGTCGGTTATGATGGCACGTTTGGGAAACACGGAACGGGTGAGCCAAGTCTACAAGTCTAGCTTTTCACCAACTTCTTGATTCAATGATGTCAATTCTTTTAACTGGTTTGCAAGGTTCTCAAACTCTGTATCTACTTCGAAACTCTGAGGCTTCTTATCAGGTACACAAAAATTACAAACCAATGATAAAGCTTCCAGTTGCAGTCGATTCAATGCAAATTGCGATAAACTATGGACGTACCTTCTCGGTTCTTTTGGAAACTCATCAGTGGTAACTGCCTCTGATAACGATTTCGATAGATCTTTGAGCAACTCACTCCGATATCGGTACTGTAGTTCGAGGCTGAATATACAGAGTTTGATTCGACACACAAGGCTGAGACTATCCGAAATGGCGTACATTGAGAAGATCTTATGCCTGAGTTGGCTGATTGTTTCAACAATATGTTCCAAGTGGGACTTCGTTAAACGCATAAGGTTCCTTCGATTAGGTAGCAATTTATTCCGGAGAAGAGATTTCGTAAACTGACGAGGGAGTGTGTCACTGCAAACGATTCCGCAGAAATTCGGCACGAGTGGTTTCACGAGTCACACGACAACAAACGTTCAACAGTATTTGCGAACTTTTTCTTTGATAAACTTCCATTCTTATACTGAGACTTTCTGTTAAGAATAACGAGTCCTTCCAGATTCCAATTGAATAAAATTATCAGTTTATCTTTGCTGCTAGTATTTGACACAGCCACCAATATATTGTTCAGCATAGCTCAAGCATTATTAAATGAAAATGGTATTGAAGAGCCGGATAATCATTCGGCACGGATGATCCTAATGTGATACTTTGAGCTTCCCAAACGCCCTTCACGAGGGTGTATTGAGCTGCAATAAACCGTAGTTACACGAATCTTAAGATGATCATGTGGAACACCAAGACAGTCAGTCCCCAGAGAGGTAAATATATGAACATTCCCAGTAAACACCATCTCGCATCAATTCAGTTTTTATTATATTACAAATTAAATTATTCGTAGTATTCGTTCTGATTTTATTAGAACACATGTCAGATTATATATTTTAATTGGTTTTCTTTGGTTTAACTCCAGTGGATTTTATGGCAGTAGCAATAGATATGTGAGATGTACTGCCAAATAGGCTCACACTTAAAATTTGATATTTTTTGTTTTCTGCCATTTGTGGCAAAATTGACAGATATTTTGTTGTTGGTAAATTCGGGTTAAATTCGGATTTCACGATATCGCAAGCTAATAACCAATCGAGAGAAAACTGGCTGGGGAGGACCAGATCTAAACATTGAAATAGTCTGGTTTCATTTCGTTCTCTTTCTGTCGAATCGAGAGTAGTTTATAACAAGAACACTGCGGTCAGTGATGCCACACGGAGAGATATCAAGTGGATTCATAACTTTGAAACTGTTATCGTACACGATACATGTAACACTGACAACATATGTCCATTGGTAAAATAGGAAACAAAATTTGTTCCTGGGTTCGGTCCAATGAAATCACTGATAAATTGTTTTGGACTAAGTCATTTTCATTTAACATTTAACTCTATTGTGTAGATGTAGAACAACCAGTTTTTTGCAAGAAAATGTGATCTCATTGCAGACTAATCAGTAACTTTGACTTTCCGGCAGGCATTAGGGCTCTATTTTATTTGCACAAATGTTAGCTGCAAACGTAAAAGTCCAGTGGTTCGAGTGTTTCTTCCTGGGATATGGGATCGCGATTGACCGCATATATAGTCCTAATCATACTTGTCCAAAATCCCGTTATAAATCATGGAAAATGTTTGGTAATCAAACACACATGCTTACTTTAACCATCGCTACGCAAACTGGCCTTTTTGTTGATTAACAATGCCCTGTAGTCAAAGGTCACCCGTCAAGCGTTGCACACCGTGCAGCAGGAGAACACATTTGAACAATCGCCTTTGTGCAGATGCACTGAAGGTGGTTGTTAAATGGTAAGATATAGTAGTAGACAGATAAATGAATTAGTCTGCAGAGCATGCTCGTTTTGACGACATTTTGTGTTGAAAGTTTGTGATTGTTATTGTGATCAATAATAAAAAAAAACCACAAGTTACTTGTAATTAGTTGTCGCCTTGGTTCCTGTAAAATTTAGAGTTAATTGGCATCTGAAAACCACAACGGAGAAATTTACTGGACAATGAAACTAAACAATCAGATTTATTACTCACTTACCTGATGGTGGCCCGGTGGTAACGTCACCAACTTATCAACCCGGGGATGTGTTCGAATCCCACCACCACCGCCTGACTTCCTCCATTGTGTATTGAATGGCAGCCCTTTGATTGGCCGCTTCCCCCTCTCTGAAAATTGCATCTTTGTATATGCAATAAAAGGTAGCAAAATGAAATGAAATGAAAAAAAGAATTAGCATCAAATGCAAAATAATAATAAATAAAAGTGGTGATGGGTTTTAGAAACAATATTGTCCGAGATGAGTGATTCTCCATTGATCGATTTGTACATAATCACCTTGCCTGAGGTACGAAGAGAACTTGATTCGGATGATTCATGAACTGGTGAATATAGCACAATTTATGCCAAAACGTTCTGTACGATAATGATTAATCGCAGATTGAGAAAAATCTGATTTCAGTTCCAAGACCGGATGTAGATAGCTCCAGAACACAGTAACCAATTATCTAGTGGATGGATCATGGAGAGCGTGATTATTCGCTACAAATTTGTTTTGTAATGTTGCAACGATATCTTCAAATGCTTAGTTCACTCCTAAATCAGTTTAACTACTCATGAGTAGTTATTTTCCATTCACATCCGGTGTCCACCATGAGGTAACAGATGGTCAGGAGGAAAGGGATAACATGGTTATAATTTAGAATATGGCAAAAGAATAAGGATGATGCAGTGATTGATATATTGTTCGTTTTGAAAAAGACCTTTGCATCTAGATGTAAATCTGTAGTATCAGGTTCAAATACATTTTAACTTTCATCAATAAAAACATAATTGGGCTTTAAACAAAATAATTTGAAGCCACACATTCAGCGATTTTGCCTATGTTTATTATGTTTGACGCTGAATTTCTGATTACAAAAATTTTTCAGAAAGTAGTTTTTCGAATGCGAAAGGCACTTTTCAATCGAATAAATTTTATGGTCAACAAATCCGTTTGATTGGCTATTGATCTTGCATGAGGTTTGATTGGTTGATCTAAAGACGAACAAGTGCATACCAACACACTAAAGATTTATCTTTTTATTTCGTTGATTTTACTGAGATATGTATGAGGGTTAACTGCAGTAAACCTGAGATTGATTTTTCATTTTGATCTTCCTCCCGCACTTTGCGTACTGCGGTAAAATGTTGGCGTCTTCTTACGGATGTTTGGTGAATTTTATGCGATGGTTTCTTGTGATCTACAACAGCCTGTTTTTGGTAAGTTACTTCTCACTCTGTGAAACATTTTCCCTCCTAATTTGCATCTAGTTTGTAGGCATTGGACTGATTGCCATGGGTACTATTTCTATCACGCAATATTCCGGTTATATTGCCACAATCGGCTCGGATTTGGCGGTGCTACCCAGTTTGTTCATCTTTCTCGGTTTCGTTATCCTTGTTCTGTCCACGTTGGCTATTGTTGGTAGTTTTTTACTGCACAGTTGTTTACTCATCTGTGTAAGTATTTCACATATTCGATCCCATAATATAAGATTACTCTCAAAGGCATTTTATGCGCTCCTACCACTCATCGGTTCTCCCTTAAAAGAATTCTAATGATTTAAGAACCAGATCTATCTGGAATAGGAATCGAAATATATCGTTACTTATTTCTTGCTTATAATGTGAAAGATTTGGAACCAAAATTTATACATGTCATCCTGCATATGGAAGCCAAATCCAACATTGTCCGATTCATAGGGAAACGATTCACAAGCTAACCAATAGGTTTCAGTCAAGAAATTACCTACTGTGTTTGCACTATAGGTCAGTGTAGGAGTATACAACAGCGAACAGAGTTCAATTTGGCCTTATACGAGTCCACTATGAAGATGTTTGGCTTAAAAGTGATCAGAAACACGTCATTAAACTAGACAGTATTTACTCCCGCGGCTTTGTGAGATTACTTTGGGTGAATAATGTGTCTCCCTCAGTGTTTCATGAATATGCGAGGAATAATGACTTCAAAGATATGTACTAAAATCTGAAGGACACAAACGGCTGAGAGAGTCACTCATTTCAAAGAGATACTTTTAAGGTCATTTTTACGATCCACCCTCTGCATCACTTTTTGCACCCACATATTTCTCAACTGCAACAATGTTAGCACCGAAAGTGATGGAGAATCACAGAAAAACCAAACGGAAGTCTCACAAAAATTGTTTTCTAAAAGTTCTTAAATCATCCACGAATTAACTATTTATTTAGATTAAGGTTATCTTAAACGGCCAAACGTTGTTCACTTGTAAGTCATATATATATACATATATATATATATAATTGAATAAACAATCTGTCACTGAAATCAAAAATAAAATATTGATTACGGTGTTCTGAGTATGATATGTTTTGTTTGTGTAATATTATGATATATGTAATGGCAGTAATGGGTTGGAAAAGTGTTAGCTTCAAACTTGTATTTTGTCAAACTATATTGTACTTTTATATCGGTTTTCCTTTCATTTTGCAATCCACTTTAATCTAGTATTGTGGTCTGTTATTCGTTGTCATGCTCGGCGAAGTAGCGCTGGGGATGGTGGCTATCACCGGTCGAGAAAAAGTGAGTAATTCTGTGCTGTTCACCATACATCCATGTTTGAAATATCGAATGAATTGCCATCGACCGAATCGAGTTTTCAACGGATCAGATAGCTCAGACCAAATCTTGAATGCTCTTCGTTAATGTCATGTTCAGCGCTCGTTTCATCATATCTTCTAGAGTGTGTCTAAGGTCAGGTGGCATTTGCATTATGAGCCAGTCACAACTTCTTTTTATGGGAAATCATTTTGACTAATAACAACGGGCTATGTTCACTGAAGATTAATAAGCCGTAATCCTCACACACGTCAACCAAGCATTTTAGTAAGTAAATGGATGTCATGAAAACTGGTTGAATAACTCCAATTTCTGAACCAGTATGCACTTTCGGAAGAAAATACTCATTAAGGAACCTGCGTCCATAATGAAACAAACATCCGGTAAAATTTGGTTAACAGGAGCAAACGAAACCGCCCAAAATGCAATGCCGTTTATAAATTGGGAGCATGTACCAGTTCAAGACGAAACTTTTATTATTGGATTGGGTAACAATCTTGGTAACAGCAGAATCGTTTACGTAGATAATCAGAGAACAAAACCAGATGTTTTCTAATAGTTCAATAGGTTCACGTAACAAATTGGGAAAAACACGAAGAAAACGGCTGTTTTCAGTTATTTTTAACCATGCAATTACATACGAAAAGTGGGGATGAGAAAGCAAGTCCTTTGGGTTCAAATCTGGCTCCAAACGTATGTGCGTGAAATCTGTCAGCCTCAAAAGTGGTTGAAGTTGTATTAGGGAGGATGGAGAGGACCAAGGGGACGGAGAGAGTGTTTGCACGATTTTCTTCCGGGCAAATGGGGGAGAGGCGTAAGTCTGAATGATTAGGGCTTCGGTCATGTGTAGGATTCGATGCTACACTGTTCTCCGTTGCCTTGATTGAGCCTCTTAAATGGGCCGAAACGCGCTCACCATGTTCACTGAGTGATTTGACTCAATAAGGTGTGAATACACTGTGCTCGTAATTATCTCAATCGATCGCCTTCTCAACCAAGCCGAGTGCAGTTTGACGAACGCGATCGGATAAGCGTGTGTTGGTGCGGCCAATTCACCCATTCCCACAGGATTAGGTGGATGAGTATACACAAAAGTAGACCGCAGAATCCGGCCCTCGGTCCTTCAGTCGGAAACTCAATCCGCTTGGATGTGAATATAGTTTTTATTTCTGTAGCGTAGTATATCGTACTTAGTGCATCTGAGAGCTTGGTTTGAATAAGTCCTGACTCCCTGTATCTTTAGAACGGCATATGCACAAACACAAGCTTAATGACAGCTCTTATTTTCTTTCATCGTTCCACGTACCCTTGCATTGCCTTGTTATTAAACAGTTCTTGGTGGCAATCTTGAGTAAAGAATCTCAGTAAGATGTGAAGTTCACCATCGATGGTATCCGTCATGCGCATTTTTCTCGCCCAACTAACCAAGCACTGAATGAGATTTCGTTCTTTGTGAAGAGGACAAAATTATGAAAGTGAATGTGTTCTTTTGCACATTGCGTTTTTGTGCACCAATAACTGCACGAAGCTTTCTCTACAGCGGTTTACACATGTATCTAGACATGCCATACCAATGAACCCTTATTTTTCCAGAGAAAATTCTACGTTTAAAGGGACTTTGATGAAATTCTCCAACAACCGATTGGTATCCATATCTGTCTCTACCACACATTCTACATTGTCAGTTTATAGCATAGACAGAATGTCTGACAGAAGATTGTGTATGTCCGTTTTCAAGTTTTGACACAGGGGTTAATTTCAAACACACAACGACGTTTGAAGCCAGCTCTGAACCATTAGGACTGTGATTTATCATGTCTCCTTTTCGTGTTGTTTGTTTTATGTAATATAACAGTATAACATAATTATGAATGACTGAAAGCGACCCCGTTTCCCTCACGCTGTGTTGTTCTCAATGTGTTCTAATAGGTAAATCACACGTTGTTTCACCCCTGCAAATTGAGTTTTCCAATTTGATGTTCTGGAAGTCATTGAACTTGTTAGAGAAACTTTCACTGTTTACTGGATGTCTTACAATGAGTAGTACGTGAATTATTTGAAAAATCCCCTGGCTACACAACCGGTCTCGCGGTTCTTTCCATTTGTCACATGCCTATCTTGTGATCGCTTGTCACTTTATTCATATAAATGCACCAAGGAAGCATATTTTCTTTGCCATAAACTCTTTTGCAATACTGGGTAAATTTGTTTGGACAGCTCATTCATGAATCATTGCTTTGAGTCGATGTTTTTATGTAAGTTAAATGCTACTAACCGCAACACATGTGACTTGGGAGTCTTTATTGGATATTTTACAAAATGTAGTATATGAATGACTCAGGAAAATTTTCCTGGAATCGTATGACATAAGTCACGGTTATTGCGGTTAGTAGCATCTAATCCACCAACAAACATCGAACCATAGTACTGACTTGTTCTGAAAGAACTTAAAAAAAATAGACCTAGTGATGGAAATGAGGGTACTGCAATAAAAATGTGCACTGTATCTGCGAATTCGTCAACAAGACCCGGTGGCTTGTCTCAATGTCAATGATTCACTCATTTTCCTTTAATTTTTCAAATACCTGTCCAATACGTAAAGACGTTCTATACACATGTTTAGTTAGGATTATATTTATACCAAAAGATGAACAAAGACAAAGAGGACCATCAAACAGTGATCGTCGTTTCCTTTCTAGTAACTGTGACCTACGGTATAAATTATATTCGATATGGGAAATAATCAGTCGTCTATTCAATCGTTTCCAGAAAGACAGTTTCATTCAGCCCTTAGGATGAAACGCATCGACCTAGAGTAAACTCACCTTTAACGAAAATGTATCAAACTACAGCTGTGAATGATACAAAAACGGTCAACATTCCATGACTAATTTAATGCTGTACAGCATTCAGTTAGATCGATTAACAAAGCTCTCGATTCATGGGGTTTTTTGCGTTTTCACAGTTTATTGACTAAATAAATAGATGCTTTCACGATAAAGCGTGGTTCCGGTGACTCATCAACTGGCTAATATATCACGTTTTATATTACGTCATTTTGTATAGAAAAGAAGAAGCAAAGTAAATGAATATTCACCTGGAGATATCTTTTGTTTTCTGTCTCAGTTTCACTAACTGGATATGGCTTCTCTTACCATGGGATCCTACGCCTGGTCCGTGTTACGTATGTTTTCGGGTGGGATGGGGAGGACGAGGAGGAGGAGGAAGAAGTAGAATCGAGGTGGAGTGAGGTTGAGTGATTTCACAAATTGTTTGTGGTTGCACAAGCGGGGATTTTGTAGACGAATACCAACCGACTTCGTGGTGGATAGCATGCGCCTTTAATCGTTTTAGAGACCAACGACTCTGAACGCGGTATATGGGCCAAAATACTTCATTTCCTCTCACTGTGTAATCGGATTCGACGAGGTGTGAAACGTTGGTGCAGCATTCTGCAAAAGCGACTAGATCCTACCATGCTCATCAGTGAGTTCTCCGCCAACCCTGAAATATGCAGTTTTTCGTCTAGAAACTTATATAGGGCCTCAGTTTTGTTGTCCAATTGGGAGAACTAAACAGCCGGACCTAGAAGTAGAGTTTGAAAACCTCTTTTCTCTTCTCTCTTTATCGCCACCTTCATTGCAAAATAACGCTCAGTTGAAACCTAAACTGGTGAACTTATGCGATTCTCTTCTCAATAAAAAACCGGGGACCAAATTTCTGGCGACACCACAACACCAAGAACGGTTGAAGACATTGAGGAACAATCATGAGGTAATTCTGTGCAGACCGACAAGGGTACAAGAGTTGTTCTAATAAACAGATTAATCTGCGTGTCTCAGATGAATGACACAGAAAAACTACGACGTTCAATAAGATGACTGGAGAAGAGGATAAAAAGGAACAGATAGAGCAGAAACCGTCAAATATAATCGGAATTATAAAGCAAAATGGTGTAATAGATGGACACACATTCGAACTCATCTAACCAATGGGAATGACAATCCCTAAGATACACGATTTACCAAAACTACACAAAGATGAAATACCCCTCAGGCCGATATTACACATGTATGCCTGCTCATATCTTGCAATAACCAAATGTCTTGTGACAATTTTGGAGTGACATCCTTGCAACCTATACCTTTCCGGACCGTTTCTCCTTGACAAATGCAATCGAAAACACAAGTGTTGATGGCCAACGACAAATGACTATAGAAATTATCTCACTTTTCACTGGTGTGAATATTTGTGTAACCAAACCCGGGAAAATAATATCGAAATTGCAATAACCCTGGATGATTTGAAAAAGTTATTATACTTATGCTTACGAAACGTTCAATATAAGTTCAGTGACGAAATCTATCGCCACGAGAATAAAGTAACAATGGGATCCAAGCCGGGGAATATGATTTTGAAGTCCATAATGAAGCGAGGAAAACAGTACAGACGAGTTGTCAAGAACATTCAAAGATTCAAAGATTTATTATGGAAATAACTTACAAGCTCATGCTTTTCTGGTCCCATAGGTTCGTGCGGTGGAGTAAGAAACAGTGATACATACAATTTTTGTGTAAAATGTCACGTGATAAGTGCTTTTTTCACTGCTGAACGCAGCTTCACTTATGTTGAAATGTAAGGTGTGCTAATGTTTCATCGAGCCTCAGTTTGAAAGACTCCATGCTTGTGCAGAGCAACATCAAGATGTCCCGACTTACTCAGGATATTTATTTCCGCACATCCCAATATCAAATTCACTCTGGAAGAAAAGTTCTTGGTGCAGTTGGTTTCCGCGATACCTATATGGTTTCATTCATAGACCGATTTATAGAAAACCAACCTGGAGCGGCCAGTATCACCATTTCAGAAGTTTCATGTAACTCAAATAAAAAACAAATCTGATTCAGTGTTTGGTAAATAGGGCGATGAAAATATGTATTGGTGATGCCAAAAATATGGAACTATCATTCATCCTTGATCTTTTCTCAAGAGAATGTTTATCCAGAGGTTTTACGTTTTATGAAATAATCGTCCAAGGGAGAAAATTCAAATGCATAAAAGTCACAATACATCTCTCTCCCATTCAAGGGAGATGAAATCACGGGATTGGTTAGCCATAAACTGAGGACTGCGTTGTGCAATACAGTCTATGCGGCAAAATTACATGTCGTAATTACGTTCAGACCGATCCTGTGATCAAAACTCAAAAACAAGGCTCCTGCTACTGCAGTCCCATTTTCTGTGTACCTGTTTACGTGTTTCTGTAAAGCGACGTACATCGAACGCACGAGCAGGAGCTTGTCTACAAGAGTTCGAGAACATCCTCTGGTCTGACGAAAGACTAGTATAACCAAAACTATTAGAAGTTCCATCGTTTCACACTTCGTCGAATCCGATTACACAGTGAGAGGAAATGAAGTATTTTGGCCCATATACCGCGTTCAGAGTCGTTGGTCTCTAAAACGATTAAAGGCGCATGCTATCCACCACGAAGTCGGTTGGTATTCGTCTACAAAATCCCCGCTTGTGCAACCACAAACAATTTGTGAAATCACTCAACCTCACTCCACCTCGATTCTACTTCTTCCTCCTCCTCCTCGTCCTCCCCATCCCACCCGAAAACATACGTAACACGGACCAGGCGTAGGATCCCATGGTAAGAGAAGCCATATCCAGTTAGTGAAACTGAGACAGAAAACAAAAGATATCTCCAGGTGAATATTCATTTACTTTGCTTCTTCTTTTCTATACAAAATGACGTAATATAAAACGTGATATATTAGCCAGTTGACGTATCACCAAAAACAAGCTTGTTTGCTAAACTGTCCTCTTATTCAATGTGTGCCACTGGTTTATTCCGGGGAATGCCTTTGCCTTTTGATATTGAAAACGATAGGAGGAATTTCGATCTAAATTCTGGGGCACCACGTTCAATTGATTTAGCTCGATCATCGTCCAACACGACTTTAGAGAGCTTTTCTCTTTCTGTTTTCAGTGGTTCAGATTACGTGAGATCTCCAATCAGACACCGTTCGTTTGCACTTTTTCTCGGGTTTGTTGGCTGCTTTCCCTAGATTCATAAGACACGACTGGTTTCTGCAGACGCTATCAGCTGTGGTGCAAAAATGTATTACTCCGGTATCAGCTGATGCATGGCGTATAATCCTACACACACACACACACACACACACACGCACACACATATATATCTAAATTTATATATATATATATATATATATATATATATATATATTCAGCTGTTGACCAAACTCGTGCAACATCACCCTCATTTTGGAAATTTATTTCAGCTTGCAATATCATACCTATATATACCTATATATAGATGGCTATGAATAAATTGTGTTTATTCTCGACTTTATCTCTAACATCTATTTTGCGCGACCTTGATCGTCGAGATAAAAGTCGTAGTAGTTCAAAAGTACAGCGCTGATTTCGAACATATTTTGGGCGAAGCAGCATGGCAGTTAATTCCTCTTACTCAATGAATCCTGTTCCATGAGAGTGTTTATCAAGTTGAGCACACGTATTCTAAATTTCTAATCTCTTTTCATTCACTGCACAGTAAATAAGCCAATTAATGAAAATATTGTAACTTGAATAAATTGATGAACTATTTGGCTGCAAAATACTCACGCATTATCTACAATACTTGAAGAACTGAAAAAATAGTCCAAGAAACACACAAGTTGGTCTTCGAAAGTTGACCTTGAGGTGTGCGGCTCGTGGAATAAGCGTCCTCTAGAGTCACCATGCCCAAACCGGATGAAACTTTCAAAATCTTTTGGCGTATAATTGAAGCCCAGAGGCAACTTAAACGAGAGGCGCGTAAATCCGATGTCTCAGTTGGTGTCTTGTGGAAGCGCTTCGATGTGAACATAGGTCCAATTTGTTGCATATTCAACGAAATTTCTCCATCAAGACATAAACCGAGATGGAGAAAACCGGCCATATCAAAGTAGGATGATGGCTGTATTTGATCGCAGAAGAGAAGAGTTGCACCAAACCAATCTGGAGGATAGTCCGGGATAACTAGCCATTTTCCCCCCACGCTGTCGTTTGAAAAATGCTGGCTGAATTTAAAATGCAGCTGGGGTCACGTGATGTAAAGCCGTTATTGAACGCCCAACAAAGCATAGCGCATATTGATTTTACCAACAAATTTAAATCGCGTCGCCCGTCCTTTGGCAATGAGTTTATCTCTATGGTGCCCAGAGAATAACTCAGCATATTGTGAAAGCTGATCTACTGAGCCAGTTTTCTAGTGAATTTCTTTTTAACTCTCAAAAGAAGTAAATATCTATCCTTCCTAACGAGTTTGTAGGAAAGCGATTATTGAGCGCATTGTTGTTGGTCTTCTGCATACGCCAATATGGACATAGCAAAATTTCTTGCACTGACAAGGGAGGATTTTGATACCTGTCACTCCGAAAATGCATTCGCGGAGGTCATATTTTTTACAAATGAAGGTTGGTATAGCAGCTCACCTTAGGTTGGTGGTAGAAAACGGTTGAACCTAAATAAATATTATTTTTTCACATTTGTGCAGTTTCTAGAGGGGTCAAGTTCATTGTCAAATACGTTCAATTACCGCGCAGCAGCTGGAATCTTAATTTAACCAAAAACTTTTCCCTCTATCGGAAACAGGGATAAGCTAGCTACCTTCCTATTGGTCGCCAGTGGTAATAATGTGCGGTATAACTTGCAAATTCTGTCTGGCAGTCACTTTGGTGGATTCCATGCTAAAACGACTGCCTCTAGTGATCGAAAATGAAGAAGGGCAAATGAAATATGGATGAGATCAAAGTACAATACTTGTTTAAAGCCTATGAGTCATTTTAGTAAATAAATCAGGATTACGTTTTCTACTGTGACTTTGTTATCTCACAACTGATGCACCAGCAACCATAGTCAAAATCGCGAAATTGAACATTTTAACGGTATGTGGCTAATAGAGGCGACGATATAAGCGGGTATTATGTCAGATATGCTGCGTCTGATGTGGGACAATATCATATTCAATCCCGTGAATGAGGTTGGAAAAAGGAAGCATTGAGAGGAACAAGTGTGGTGAAAATCAGGACGTTGCACGAGTTTGATCAATACCTGTATACATGACACGTTTGGATACCATAACTCGATCATGAGGTTCAAAGAGAAATTCCAACCATTCGGAAATTGTAAATGATGATTATGAAATACATTCGTAAATAAATAGTTAAAATACATCACCATCAAGACTGATGCATAACTGGATTTATTGCTTGCTGATGTTCACATTTTAAGGTACAGCATCGGGCACAAGTCGAAATGGTTCGTGCTATGTCAAACTATCAAATGGAACCCCAGACAAGATTTGGAGTAGATCTGATTCAGCGAAAAGTGAGTTTGGGATTCCATAGTTCTATTTTTCAAAGTACTTAGGCTGTGTTACATCAAGAAAAATAAATTTGCTCCAATAAAATGAAAAGAACACAAAATATTGAATGGTGATTATTCTAGCAATAGAGAGCTTGTTGTTTATGAAAGTGCGCGATCATCAGTAACGTGGTGCGGTATTCATGCGCGTCTGTTTAGCCAAATATGAACAGGCCTTTAACAAGGCTCTGTTCTAATATCTACCTCAATGGTATGTTGCATCACGGCGAAACTGCATCTTGACCTGGTGTGATGGTTTGTGCGCTTCCATGACCCTGCGAGCTATACTGGACAGCACCTCGAAGCCGCAGGTCCAATTTTGCCTGAAAGGTCAATGGGTAGAAACCAGACGAAGGTCAGTCTCAGAAGGTCAGCTGCTCGGGCACCTCTTGGCTTCCTTCGTCTGTCTTCTCTCGCCCCTGGCAGGCCACTCTAGCAAATAAACACCGGGAGGGGCAATCTAACGGTCAACACCCTCGATAGATGGATGTAGGAATGGGATACCTGGGGCGTCCTCCCGACAGTGAGGGAAGCCTTCGCACTTCACTGGACAGCTACCACTCACCCAAGCTGTGTAACCCCTAGTTGGTAACGTGCCGTCCCGTCCACTGGACGCTTAAGATTAAGGGTCAATCCCAAACAGCGGACCGACAATCAATGCACCAGCGAACAGCACTCTAAACCGAAAACAAAGACCCAGTGTGACAGGTCTCTAGAAGCTTCCTGTAATGATTGTAATAGTAGCAGTAGTACGCACGGAATTCAGAATACAAAACACGCAATAGGAATCACCGGACACGAATCAAGGATTAGCTGTCACGCCCTGGTTTACGGAAGCACTGGACCGCAATAGCACGAGCTCGCAATATCTCAGGTGAACGAGAGACGAGGAAAAGACCACGGGAATAGTAGTACGTAGTTCGTTTATTGATAGAAACGAGGGTGATTAAATAATATGTGCAAAAGAATATTATTGGTTATCTAGGCTTCCACCAATCTGCTTGCATAATCTTGCTTCTGTCTGCCCTGTCTTGGATTGGCTGGCAAGATCTGCCTATGGCGTGTGGTCGGAAGACGTATGCGTGTCATTGACGTCAGCATTTAAATTTGTTTGATCGCATGTGTCCGAAAACTGTGACGCACCGCTCCAGGGTAGGCGTCATCTCGTAGGTCTGACTTACCACACTGCCACACGGTCACGCTCCCGTGTTGGACTATTGAGTCGAAGGTGACGGTCAGGGTTCCTTAAAGAAAACCCCTTCGTCGGTGGCCTGCCGCGAGGTGTCGTGCCTCGAAAACCCTCTTTCTCATCTGTGCAGTTCTTCCTCTCCCTTCCAAGTCGTACGAGATGCTTCCTGTTTGTGCCATCCATGGTATAGCACTGATCGTTCACTTAATAAGGTCAAACAACCGGAAAATATCCGGTTTTTGAAACCCAAATCTACCTTTAACTAAGCCGCATTGAACGTTTGCACAATCTAGCAGATAAGTCAAGAAGCTGCCTTAGGTAGAACCCCTGAAACTTTCAAGTTAGTTGTAGACTGTCTCGGAAACACGCATACAAGACCCTACTTCGATTGTCACCTTGCGATCTCCAGATTTGACCCCATCCTCACGCTTCACCTTCCCTTTTTCAGGCCATTCGCCACCCGAAGCTCGCGGTGTTGCTGACGTCGGGACTGTGATAAATGTCAAGACTGACAAATTCATTTATTGACTAGATTCTGGTTGGTAGCCGACTGTGCGCTGTACATTTCGATGGCTCAGTTCAGGTCAACAGCTACAGAACGAAGAGCCTGTGCTTATTCGTCGTATCGTTGTTGACTTCACAGGCTACAACGATCCACGTAGAGTGACGTGCAAAATATCCGGAAGATGGAGTCTTTCAACAAATGGGTTTCTTCTACAAAAACGGTACTGAAATACAGATTATGATAGTGTAAAATATGCAAACCTCAAACTATGGCACTATTCGGTCTAACAAACACCGTAATCTGTGAAGCCAGTAATTCGACAAGCAAGAACTGCCAGCAAGAAGGGGCGCAGTGCGATAACAATGGAACGAATAGACCAAACAATGTCAAACAAGATCACATGAACATGTGGTAGTCAGTGGTGGGAAGTGTCCTAGAGTGAACCATTCAAAACACGGTGGATATGAATGTTAGTCATCAGGGCCTGCCGTGACATGACTGCGGTAAACCTGTGTAGGTGTGTGCTCACAAGTGTCAGATTCAGTCGGTCATGGGCGCGGATCGATGAGACAAGTGAGTTCAACATAGAGGATAACGTAGCGGAGTAAACATACACATGGTGTGTGCGTATGTGTAAACGGCGTAGAGAAAAGTCATAGGCAAGAATCAATGGAAGGATGAAATCAACAATACACGTACGAAGGAGAACAATGGATAATAGGATGGTGGTGCTGAGTGTGTGCATGTGAAGAGCGTCAATATGAAGCAGAATTTATTCTACAATCGTTATATCAACCGACCGATTACAGTTCGCCAGAAATCATGGATAAATTCTACAAAGCCCTCTCTAAACTGCTGCAAACTGCTCGGTCAATGGACATCGTGGTAGTCGCTGGAGACTTCAATACCTGAACCCATAAGGAAGGCTTCTTGGTGGTACACATGCAGTCCCAGCCAACCGGATGGGCAACAGAAAACGCTTACTCCAACTGAACTGTTTCCGTCAAGCGAGAACTTCTCGCGCAAGAAACGACACCGCATTACATGGAAACCACCAACTTCTTCATAGTGATGAACTCAGATCAACCACAGCGCCATCAGCTACCTTTGGCGAGGAACCGTTGAGGACCGCTGAAGACTGATCAACACCCGTGGACACGGAACATGCTCTGCTACGAGCTAGATTAGTCCTACGTCTGATAAACAACCATAGACTTTATTCTCTTTTCCAGATCTCTTAAACTTCTTTCTCGTTGCAGCGATATTTCAAAGACCGTTTTGGTTGACTTTGTTTTGAGCAAGCATTCTGATTCATGCGATCGATTTATCAGCCGTATCCTGTCCAATGAAAAACACTGCCTTCACCTCCATCTCAATAAATCGGTATCTCATCCGAGTACCCGTTTCCAATTCCGGATTCTTCGTGCACGCACCACCACATACAAAAACACATGATTCCTTATCTTGCTCGTATCTTGGTCAACCGAGCAAATATTATTACTGACTTGAATAATCATCTGTCACATTAGGATTTTATCCATTCCGTTTGTTTTTCATTTAGCCAATGTGTATTTCTTCTTTTTCCAATGCTTAACGTTTTCCTCATTGTAACTTGTCGAAACTGCTGAAAATTCGTCCTATTGGGTGCGTAAAGCTTTACTTTACTTTACTTGTTTCTTTTTGTTGTTCTAAAGAATATGAAGAACATTGTAATTAACTATTTCCATAGGTTCACTTGGTTCTATTGGTGATATGCCGTGAGGAGCAGCGGTAAAATGATTCATATACTTTACAGAGTCGCTTTTAGAGGAAAAGTATAACAAAAAGCAATGCCATCAACGTATATTGATGAAGATTTTTCTTGCAGCAACAAGTGTTTGATTTTCAAAAGACGTCACTCTATAGATTTGTACAACGCAGCGAAAAATTGCCAGTCAATTCTATTCAATGTGTCAGGTGTAATACTTTTACGATTGGGCAAAAAATAGAGATTGGGTGAGCACATCAAACTTAACAACGATTATCCACGCCATTATGTTGTTCTTGATGACCGTTTCCTGTATGTTCAATGTTTAACAATGCAATCAGTAATGTTTTGCATTTGTTCTCATTCTATTCATTCTCATCGGATATTCAGCTGAAATGTTGTGGTTTAAGAAACTATCGTGATTGGGCCGCGGTTTTGGGCCGCTCGGAAGTGCCTGGAAGCTGTTGTGCTAATCCAAATACGTGCACAGTGGTGTATAATAATACCAATTTTGGATATCCTCGTGGAATCCAAAGGCAGGTGAGTGAATTTGTATGCGCTTGGCTTGTTATTTAACCGTAATTTGTCCAGTAAGATACTACGGAGGTTCTTATTAAGTGGGGTGTAACGAACTATGGTAGCATCTCCGGAACACGGGCCGTTTTGTGACATTCAGACTACGCAGTGGTCACGTAGAAAAATCCCTCATGTATAACTTTTGATCAATTACTGAGTCACTGTTCATAAAACAGTCATTCGGCTTAAAATTCTTAGCGGCACTTCGTGGTGTATGAGGACGTGATCTTCATTATGGCTGTGGTGCAAAATGATACATTTTCTTCGAAAGGTCATTCTCAAGTAGACTTGGATCGGTGTAGTTTATAGAGATATTATTTAGAAACCTTGACGGGATCGACAAAAAGTTGTTTACTTAAAAATGGGAGAAATAAAACATTCGTTAATTTCAATAGTGATCATAGAACGTATCCTTCTAAGCGAAACATTCCTGCATAAACTTCACCCATTGAAAATATGAGTTTCATAAATTTTGTCAAAGCTTACTTGAACGGTAGGACATTAAGAGGCACAAAAACTAGCGAAGTAAAATTTTCCAAACTTGACAGATAGCTCCTAACTGTGCGCCATGATTAGCCGTTTTCTATTTTGAAAAATGCGGAACTAGATGCATGCTAAAAATCAATTTCGAATTAGAAAAAAGCAAAAATTGCAGCTCATTTAAAATGTTAGAATTTTATGGATCAAAATCTGTATAAATGCTTTAGGACGGTCATCTCTGCGATACCTGTCAACTTGGGAAGAAATCTATTCTCTTTCCAATTTGACGCAACAACATTAATCTCATTTTACCATTACTTTCGGATAACTACTACTACTAACTGCTAATTTTATAATAGTTCACTATTCATTACTGATGTCATCCTCATATTATGGGTAAATCTACCATAGTTTATATTGTATGCTAGCGATGATTACTTAATTAAATCACTTCTTTGTTCTTCCCCCCTCCAACCGTCTACTTTGAAACTTACCGCTTTTCTTGTCAGGGTTGCTTGCTTGCACTTACCGTATGGACCCGATCTAAAGAAGGTCCCTTGACTGGCGTTGTGTTCGTGATCTGCTTTCTACAAATTTTGGGCATCGTTTTCGGATTCCTATTGGCCTGTCGTGTGCGTCATGCGCCAGCAATACAGAACAAGTCAAATGTTAAGCATGGGAGAAATAGTGATGTAACAGTTGAAAAGAAAGTACATGAATAGGCGGACATAAAACAATTATAAACCATGAGATAAACTATTGTGTCTCCTGGTGATACAACCAATCAAACAATATGGTAATTTTTCAATACAGGGACCTTTCTTCTCCCTCACTTGATCAGAATATCTTTCCCCTGATGCGTTTGTCCCAGACTTCATATAGAAACCTCGTAGTCTTTTTCGGGTTTTGAAAAGAAGGCCAACGATAATGAAATCACAACAGAGTAAAACTGCAGTTGAATAATATCTATTGCCAGATGATTAAAATAAATGATCCAGTAGGATTGTATAGTATAGCTAGATGTCGTATTCAGTGACGTTGTGTTGGCGGACCTTTAAAATGAGGTTTAAAATTTGGTGTAATTTCACGTTTTTAATTTTTTCAAAATTATTTTAACCAATGTACAATCCAATACATTTCGGCAGGCTTCAGCTCTCCAAAGTTTCTAAGAAGTTGAATATATTGCACTCTGGCTTTTAAAGAACAATTCGGAAAGAAAAAGAAAAGAAAGTGAATTGTTTTCATTTGTCAACCAGGTTAATTTTTTTTAATTAACTTGCTCAAATGAGAAGAAGTTCTAAAATCTGGGATACATCGACTTTGGTATAAACTAAATTCGGTGAAACTAGGTCCTTCGCTTTCATTGATCGGAATTAAACGCAAATATACGACCATTTGGAGAAAAGATTGCCAAACTGCTTAGAGAATACATGATAGTTGGCGTAAATACTTTTTTTGATTGATCGTTGAATATTGAGGACTACTAACTATGTCAAAGGACAGCTAAATGAGAGCTAGGAATGTTTTGCAAGAATTCCACAGTTTTATTCAATCGAACAATTACTACCAATAATATGCGTATGACAGGCGATTGCTTTGAAATGAAAGAGGTTCAAAGTAGGAAGGTACTTTTACATCTGTCAAGGTAGTTCTTAGATAGTTTTTAGTTCTACAAAAAAGGTGAACTCGAGAAATATAAAAGTGTGGAATCTAGTGAAGGGCATGCAAGTAAAACAAAATTCATCCAGAGCATTACGGAAACATGTGGTTCTCCTTATTCAGTCTTACTGATTCGCGTACCTCGTGATTGAATGGTAGAAAACTTCTCCGATGATGCAACAGAATATGAAATAAACAACAAAAATACTCACAATCTGAAGAAGTCAGAAAATATTGGAAAACAACTCGGAACATGCATATCTACGTGGTATTTAATGTAGCTATTTTTCTCCCCAGAACACTTAAATGTTAAGTTCCAATAGGTAAGTTGATCAAAAATTCAGAATTGTGACACCCAACAATATCGTCCATTTATTCTACTACTTACTGCGTTTATCAGCTGACAGACTTGTGCCTCGTTCGATTTTCAGTTTGTACACGGCAAAAAATCAATAATCGTATTGAACCTGATCTGAAGATAAGAAGCATACACCAGGCCATTCAGTCAGTAGGCCGTATTGAGTGTCTGGTATATACCAGCATAATGCTTTCTGATTGGGAGTAGATTGAGTTGTAAGGAAAAAAGGAGGCAATAAAATTACGTGCTATATACCTCGGTGATCATTCGACAATTGGAGTCCCTACAACCGATATAATTCCGCTACGAATAAAATCGATATCAAGCAAACGGTTGAAAGCAACTAGATTCGTCAAATTTGGAAACACATTACGTGGATACATATCTCCTGAAAAATAATTTATCTCCAACGTTATGTCTAATGCATTTCGAGTGAAAGCCGGTCGTGATGGACCCATCAAAGCAACATTTTCCGAATCGATTCGTCAACTAGCTAAATCCTATTATCCGTACATCTATTCCGATAGTAGGAATATTTCTAAACCAGTGGTTGATCTACAAGCCGCTTTTGAGATATGTACGGAATCTTTAGAAGAATACGATCGTGTTTCGAGTGAAATGAGCAGCCTGAGTTACTCAATATTTGGTCTTGAGCAAGCGCTTTATCGAGCCATGACAGAACTCAATATTATTCGGGAAGAGGTTGTAGATCTGATGAATGCACTACGTACGAGTGAGAAATTCAATCTACGCTTGTTAGATCAACTTTCAGTTATTGAGGAATCCATTCAGAATGGCGTAGATTCCAGTCGAAGTGTCCTATCTGCCAATCGCACCCCAACGTCTACTGTGGGACTGTCACCGGATCACTATATGATTCCTAAATGTACCCGTGAAAATTTGGAAGCTATAATTGAAGCAGGAAAACCAGGATCATACAATACAATCGGAATGGACGTGTTGCTAAAAGACAAACTGTCACCAGATATGTCACGTCTTCAGTGGCTTACTCAAATTCAGCGTGATTTAGCACACCGACATGCGGAATTTAGTTTTCTTCTGATCAGTCTATGGTCGGAACAGGTGCGGGATAACTTTCACCTGGCTACGCGTAAAACTGGTTGCCTTCCAGGTGGACAAAAAACATCTTATGATCGACGACGTAGCCGTGGTGGTGGAGATGAAGAGAACATGCTTCGAATGGCTAGTTCCGCCAAAATAGACGAACTGCCCACCGTAGTGCAAACCATTCAAGGTCGCGTTTTTGAACTAGGTGGTATGATTGTGGACGAACTGAATCGTTTACGTGCAGCATTTGAGGAAACAAAATTGCAACACAAAACTCTAAATACCGAATTAGGCGAGCGTCGGCGCCAGCTAATTGAGAGTTTGTTAGCCACTCACAGTGCTGTGCAAACATTGCTGGATTTAGATGAAAGAAACGATGCACTGGTTGGCAAATTGGTGAAAACGCGACCATTGTTTGCCGATCTGTATCGTATCGTGCAAAACGAAACAATGACAGATGAACCAAGGACCACAGCTCCATTACAAAGTCTGGCTGAAGTACTGGGTCCACAGAATTGGAAAACATTTGTGGATCAGTTGGGGCGTTTACGTATGAACGGATTAGACGATGCGACCGAGCTTGATTAGTTTATTTTCTCGAACTAGTGAAATTTGCATATGATCAAATATATGCTGCTGAGTACTAAAAGGCAACGTCATTGTGAAAAAAATCATATCTGATCAGGGATAATTGTAATCTTATTAATTTGGGCAGAGATAAACAAATACTAGTCGAGTTTCATTATTTTTTACACTATAAGTTACCGGATATGACTGCGTCCAATCTGTATAAACCGAGTCTGCCACTTTGAGAATAATTAATGAATTACTTCATATTGTTCAGCACGATAATAAGTTATGGTGAGTGAATAATAACTCATACGGTGTATGGATCTCCTCGTTATGTATTTTAGATGCGCTATGATGATATAATTTGTATCAACTCCCAGACATCCATTTTTGATCTTCGATGCCTTACGCTTTACAGCGGAACTGTATGAAAGCTAATTTTCTATTAATTTGTTCGCATATGATCACTCACCATATAAATTTACCATAAATTGCAATCTGATTGGTGCAATATAAGAAAGGGTACTATCTGGGTCGGAGAACAAGTAATAATCCTAAACCAAAATTTGAATTGGCTAAACTATTGTAATTTAAACAACAATACCTTTTCAAATGAAATGCCCACTGTTTTCCAATAATTTTCGAATAGGCACATTATCAACATATTTATGTTTGGCGTGAGTTTCGGGAATGAGCTATTTACATTGACTATCCAATTTTATTAATGACTTTTACGGAATACTTGAATAAATTTACAGTTTCAGTACGGGGTATGTAATTTGTGAGGGCGTCTTAATTTATACCTAAGCTTAGACTTCCATAGACTTCGTTGACCGCAGTGTGTGTTACGCATGTCACCAGATAGGTTTGTTTGTTGAGGGAGGTAATAGGTCGAAAAAACTAGGGGTGGCCAAATTAAGACCAGGCAAGAGGGTGTGGAAACCTTGATCAGGAAACTCGATCATACAGGTGGAGTTGGGCTCCCTGGATGAGGATCTCGGGATCATTTTAATCCACGATGATTAGAGACACTGAGGGACGTGGCTTAATGTCGTAAACAGTGGCGTTCATACATCTAACTTTTTCCGGAATTCCCCATTTTCTCTTGGACACTGCTTTCAACTTTCCAGTCTAACCTCTATCCCTTCATTCCACTAGGTAGTCAAAAGACAGCAAACAAAACTGCCACATGAGGATGCCTTTTTCTTTCATATGGTATCAGGGTAATGAAAAACCAAAATAAACTTAAGATCACAACACGCACATATTCATACCCCTTAGTTCAAACTTGTACTTGAATCTTTAAATTTTAGATTAACCATTTTACCTCACACCACAAATTTCTGGTGATCTCTCTCTCGTACAATGGAAAGTTCTTATTACATTTTCAAGCTGGTTGATACAGTACATGGTTTATTTATTCGCTCTGTTAGCCGATGAACTCATTAAGTTTTACATCTGATGAGCTTTTTTTAGTTCCCATTGTCTATTTAATCCTATTTTAATTATACTAATTTCCTTAGAACACAATTGGCACCATTCATTTCGTTTTACTGGTTTTGCATAGAAAGGCGACAACTTCACATGACGAAGCCAGCGAACAGTCACCACCCAAGTATTTCTTATCATTGTTCTTTCAGATTAGATGATCACATTGTCCAGAAGCGGTAGACCGTTTTATGTGTAAATTCGGCGGAGCTGAATGCTGAGTCTCAGAGCTGCTGATAGGAGAAAAGGTTCAGCCATATCGCAGATATCACTTTGCAATATATTTCTAGGATGCTGGGACTGAGGCAACCGTGGATAGAATACTGTGTTTACCTCTGCTGAATACCCCTTGAAGCACCCAGCACAAATCTATCATCCTTTGTAGAATCACCACCACACGTCCCAGTCGTTGAACTATCAAGATCGCACAGATTTAATCAGGCTGCAAAAAGATGAGACGAGGATGTTAAAATAGGCAAAGAAGCTGAGCAAGAAGCGAGAAGCTGTAGGTGATAGGTTATTGCCATTGTGATTGTGGATAGAACGCACTAGTCAGTCCGGGAGTTACAGAGAAATGATGTCATTTCTGTTAGCTAGTGAACGAGTTCACACTTAATCTTGCTATTCAGGTGAAATACTGTTAATTCTTTCATTGCACCATTGGTAAGTACCTTGTCCAGTGCCCCTTTCAATGCCGGAAATATCTAGGTAATTACATTTGGCTCAAATAAATCGGTGTTATTCGAGGGGACTTCTGCCTCCTTGGAATTTACCCACTAGGCTACTGAAGGCATTCATGCAATTGTTCGTTCCAACATCCACGTCTGATCATGCTGACCGATTTATCGATCCATTTTGATGTGATTCGCTTCGTTACTCGGCCGACCGGAGAAAATTAACACCGGGTTTGTTCGTGCTGGTGTTGGTGAATTCTCCCAGCTGGAAGTGTTATTCACAGATGTATCGTAGCGAAACCTTTGGTTAGGAGTCGTCTGGGAACAACACTTGCATCTTGGAGAACTCACCAACACCAAACTCCGCATCCTGGGCTACAATCATTCCACATCGTTTCAACAGTCAAAGATAACAAACCTGGATGCAGCGGGGGGTGACGAACCTTTAAACCCCACCACACGGAAACCTTCATCTTCATTCGGTAACTCAAGGAACAAGTACTTTTGTTTGTCTATGGACAAATCAGTTCGCCACGACTGGATGGGGTTTCGATAGATCCGATCCAACCAGTGACGCATGAGGGAAGAAGAACCAATAGGTTTGTCGGTTTCGTGGTAGAATGCGATTGGTTCGATTCACTTTAAGTTACAGCAAATTCATTGAAAGTTACTTTGGGTCAACTTAGTTACAAATTGAAATTGAAAATTTATATACTTTAGAGAATTACTGAAAAATTCAATTTATCCCCATCATCATAAAAAACGATTTTCAGCTATCCCGTATGATACACTTGAATTTGTCCATTTCTCTCGTACGGTGAATTTAATAATGGAAGGTGTATTGAATCCATTCAAGTCAGTTTATCGTGAATACCTCAAGGCAAATCGTAACTTTCGCATTTGTTTATTGTGTTACTCATAAGTAGTTCGAGATGTGACTGTAATTGCTCCAGTCACCGGCGGTTCACTCTGCCTTTTCATTTTCAAGTGAATCCGTTATAAATTGAAGTGGATCTATTTATTGTGATCCGGTATCTGGTTGTCCAGTGAACATTTTGGACACACAATAATTAAATACCAGCTTAAGTGAATGAAGCGCGGTATGGCTAACGGCAAATGGGCGTGCGCAATACGTGCCCTAGCCAGCGAAACCTACTAGTGTGAATTCGGTAGGCTAGCAGGTTCACCCTGATAAATACCAAAATAAATAACGACTTACCCCCAGAATACTCTTTCACTTTATCCCACTTGGGCTGAACTGCAATCATCGAAATACGTCTACAAAAAATTCGGTAGGAATCGCGAACTAGGGTACTCTTGACGAACTCCGCTGCTGGTGACGAACAGCCTACTTAGTTCGTTGTAATCCTGAGGTGAGTATAGCGACCACAGTAAGTTAGCGTACTTTTGGAGCATTCGTTTTCGAAGAAGAGCACTCATCTGAGCTGCGCAATAAACTTAGTCGAAGGCTCATTTAAGTTCAGTGCTATTTGATTGCAATCAAAAATATTCATCAAATATCAGACACGATGAACCTATTGTATGATGAACAGAAGAAAAAATGTAATATAACGACGTGTTTTTGAGTCATTTCTTCCTAGATATGTTCAACACTGTTAATGGTACGAGGCTCTTAGGCATGAGATTATAGAGGTTGATGAAACAGACTTCAATTTCCATTGTTCAAGAACTTTTGGATATCAAATACCAGTTCAAAAGGAAGAAATTTGTACATCATAGGTGCTATGAATGGTGATGGGTTGTTGAACTATATTGTGGAAAGAGGGTCCCACAACTCCGAATTGTGTTTGTAATTGTTGCAAAGCTCATTGATCAGCGTTGAATCCGATTGAAATGGTATGGAGCATTATGAAAAGTTACATCAATAAGCGGCTCCAAAACCATGCCAAATGGTGGTGGGTGGGAATGGCTTGTTTTGAAAGCATAGCTGGTGATGCCCAGTCTCAAATCAAGCAGGATCATAGTCATCATGCATCTAATCATGTTTGTGTAGATTATCCGACAGTCATAAAAATGACTGATTTTTAATAGTATTGATATTTAGTTCTTTGTTTCAATCACTGAACGATTCGTGAGTGGGCGATATAAGTCAGAAAGTTCTACCACTGTTGAAGTCAATATGTCGAGTACTTGAGAAATTTCGTAGAATTTTGAGTACATTTACAATTTCAGTAGGCTGGTTTTACAATTGGCGTTTCCGGATAATTTCATACAGATATAGACAGTGTTATCCAGGGCACGCGGTGCTTAAAGGAAAACCTTGGCAGGCAATTCGTTCATTGGTTCAATTAAACGTTCATGCACAGATTACAGACTAGGTTGGGCAGGTCAACAATTTGCATTTCGTTGGGGTGAAACTGGTAAAAGCTGTCGACCACTGAAGTTTATCCCTGGTTAGTCAAAGTAATCAACAAAAGTTGGATTTATTTTCTTTTTGGATAAAGGAGTCAACTTTGATCCCAGTGGTGAATAATTTGAGGGGAGAAACTAACTGCAGTAGTCGCCCCCACCATCTTACGCATGCTAAGTATCTTGTCAAGTGTGCGTTCCAATGTCAGAAATACGTAAGCAATCGCATTTGATACAAAGGAATCGGTTTTATTCGAGAGAAACTCAGCTTCAATGGAACTTACTCATTGGGTTATTGAGGGCTTAGACTGAGTCCATTCATGCAATGATTCATGCTCACATTCACATCTGGGCATGGTGACCGACTTATCGATCCATCTTGACGTGATTCGCATCCTTACCCGACCGACTGAGGTCAATTAACTCGTTGGTATCTATGATACACGCTCGATCAACAATCACGAACGTAACGTTCCCGGATGGAAC